CCCCAAAACCCCAAAACCCCAAAACCCCTAAAAACATTTTTAGCAAAAATATTGATTAAAATATTAAATATATTGAAATGGGAAACAAAACTCCTGAGAGGATTGAAAATTAAATGGTTGATTTCTAGAAATTCATAGATGATGTGAAGCATCTTAATGAATTATTCCAGTATTTATTTACTATTAACACTTGCATAGAGATAGAAGGTTCAAAAGGAAAATAGGATTTACTATAGAGTTGCAAATAGCAGTAGGATAGATTAAGGTTACAAAGTTGTTTAAGCATTCATTGTGGAAAAAAAGTAAAATAGCAATAGTTGTGGCTACTCTTCGTAAATTAGATGATATTGAGAGTGAATCTGGTATTGAAAATTTTATGCTAAAATCATTGATCACGTAAATGGATGACACAGGATAAATTAAAAAGAAACTTTCAGCCAAAAAATTTTATTTCCTTTACTACTAGATGACAGAGCTGATACCATTGTTTTCATATTTAGAAAGACTGAATTTCTTTAGAGATTCAATTCAAGCTATGACACCATAAGGGAACGAATAAGAATCTAGATTTGATAACTCTATCAGACTAACTGTCAATAAAAAGAATAAATCTTCAACCAGTGAAGAGAAAAAATCATTGTCAAATGATCCAACTATTGATAGCTCAGTAAAAGTTGAATATTTAAATAAGCTTGAAATCTAAAAATAATAGCAAAAGACAAAGCAGGAAGAAGAGTAAAACTGGGAATGTGCAATTTGCCTTGATAATTTGAGTGATGTAATGCTTCCCTGCACTCATTCATTCTGTGATGATTGCATTAAAATGTGGTAGGCAAAGTAGAACAACTGCCCTATCTGTAGAAGTGATATTTTAACTAAAGTTCAGACTGACCTCGGATTTCAAAGATAGGATGAAGAAATCTATTGTATAATTAATAGTAATGATAGCTTAACTGAGCTCTCTGAAGAGATTTAGATGCGTGTAACTGGAGCTACACAATTCATTATTGATCGGAAAAATTTTGCTAAAGTCACATGTACTTTCTAAAAGATTTACACAGCAGAGGAATTAATCAGAGAAGGCTAAAATTATAAACAGATGATTTAAGCTGAGTTTTCTTGATTTTCATTAGGTAAGAGTCTGATATAATGAGAAAATTCTTGACTTAAGTGAATTTGATCCTAAATATTATTAATTTAATGAGCATCATTTCAATTCAATAATATAAACTAGGGGTTTTGGGGTTTTGGGGTTTTGGGGTTTTGGGG